GATAATGTGATTCCTAGGATGCGAAGTTGATTAACAGAGCTCTCTTGTCTGGTTTTATTCTTTCTAGAGGGTATTTTAATGAAAAACTATGGAGACGCTAAAAGGGTGACATTCTAAGTAAGAAACAAATAACTTATGGTACAAGCTTCAGTTTCTGTAAGACGCCACTGTCACGATGTGTTTCAGACTCTTGATAAGGCAAAAAAGTTTTGTATTTTAGTACTAACATTTAGTTTGGACAATTGTATCTAATTGTAATTCTCTAGGGTGCCAGAGATAGGTATTTCTAATTGGTTTGCTGTCCCAAATCCTGTGTAATTATAGCATCCACACAGTGGGATCTGCTCTGTGGCTAGTAGGCGTCTAGCCTGCTTTGACCCTGACCATGGTACCATATTGGCTGCTCCAGCCATTTCTCTCTTAGGTTATGATGCTTCCTGAAGAGTTCAGTCCATGACCACAGTTGGTGGGAGGGAGCCAAGAGTCACTGCTGAGAGTTACCTGTGAGCGTAGGGAGTTTATGGAGTGCTCCGGTGAAACTCCCCAACTGTCAGCGAGAGTTGCTGAGTATCAGAATGTTGAGTGGCAGGAAAAACAACTGCCCAAGAAAAGAGGAGTCTTGAAGATACACTGGTAGGGGAGGTAGTCCCAGAGGGGTACATAGAGCTAATGCTGCCAGTTCTTTAGGAGTGCTGGAATGTGTTTTAAAAGGGGGAAAGAGGGAGTCCTAATTTTAGAAAGTAGTCTACAGATTCATGCTCCCAGATTCTAGATAAAGCTGCATAAATTTCCAAGTCCACACAGCTGTATGTACCAAAAAACATCGAGAAAAGCAGCTATTCTTGAGACCTTTTCTGCAGCTCAGTCAGATGTTTTAGGTTAAAAAGGAAGCATATATTCAGGATGCTTTTAAGCTGTGTAATATACCTGAAGTTCTCACCAGGGTAGGACAGGGTGCTACTATTATGTCAACTTTTCCATAAATTACTGGTCTTTTACTTCCAAGTGGAAACTTTTTTTTCCTTAAAATAAAAATAACTTTTCCTGGATTTGAGGTGAAATTTTTTTTCAGAAGTTTGGCTTTGCTCTAATGCGATAGACATTGCTGGCAATGGCCTCTGGTCCTTAAGCTCCAATCACGAAGGAAGGCATTTATTTGTTGAACAGTATCTGGAAAGGGGAAAGAAAGTACTTATTTACCAGTTAATTCTTGTAATCAACATTACAAAACAGGGATCTATTCATTAACACTGTATCATTCTCAATATATAAAAAGCACTTTGTATTTAAAACTTTATTATAAATATATATATATATTGATTTTTTTAATCTAGAAACTAGATATTACCTCTTGGTTGTTTGCCACATTAATATTCTCTTGGTGTTGAAGCTTCACCGGTTAACAGTCCTTTCTCTGCATACATGACAGATGTGTATAGAGGAGACTGTACAATCAAAGTTCAATTGCTCCTTCTCATTTTTTCATGTTAGAAGCCAATGGATTTTAGGTATGATCCTGGCCATTGTGTGTGAGGAGAAATTGTTTTATTATTCCTACTAATTTCAGTACTAAGGCATTGAAGCCGTTTAGTTCTGCCAAAAGCCCATCACCCTCTCCCGTGGTATTAGCCAATCATTTTCTGCCTGTTCGGAAGGTTTGATGTGCTGTTTCCCATTAAAGATTGTATTCAAATGAGCATTGGGACGTTTTGGGAGAAGAGTCTGAGAGATAGAATAAAAACGTTCTAGAAAAGTCATGGTTCTTCAGTTATGCTGAAATTAGCACGGCACCTTTGTTATGAGTAATGATGAAGAATTCTTGTTTAGCCAGGAGTGGTGGGCAGCCCTTGGGTGGTAGTTTTGCAAGTAGTCAGTTGTGCCGGGACTTATTTAATGTGTTGTGAAGAAAGGTGTCCTTTATTGAAATCCTTATATGTACATCAACTAAGTATAGAATTTAAAGTGTAAGTTCCTCACACCTGCTGTTTTAAGTTTTTTATGGTAGTTGGGGTTTCCTTTAAAATTAGGGTTGCTAATCGGGTCAGCCAGAGCCTGTGAGATGGTTGGGCATCTGAAATGCTGGCCATGTTCAGAGAGGCGGGGAAAAGAGATTGCCTTAGTTTGGATAGTGAAAGTGAATTTTTATAAACTTTGCTTTTTAGGATTAGGAAATCATACTGTATTACTACCTTTTTTCTCCTGCCCACTCTGGGTTGGATAGTCTCTCTCCTTAGCCTCAGTACAGCTTTAGAAAATCTTTATCCTTCCAAATGAGTTTGGATAGTTGTGGGTAACATTTTCCAAACAGTCTTTCAGGGATCGTGTTAATGGCCTACAACCAAGGTATTTGTCCCCTACTTTGAGTCTTAACTGTGGTTCTTCTCCAGTCCCAGCAGGAAAGGGCTTCAAGGCACCACCAGTGGTATCTAATATTAGTATTTATACCATGCCTTTAATTTTAGGTGTACACATTACAACAATCCACTTGGTAAAGTAGGGATCACCGTCTAAGGAAGGACTGCGGTAGCCTTCCCTCGAGTGTTGAGGGTTACCCCCAGGCGCTCCTGGGGCCCGGCCTGTTGATTCTCATTTCTAGATCTCACCTTCCTCTAATCCCTTCTTTATGCCACTGCTTTCAAAGAGTCTGCCCAAAAGGGTCTTCTCCATTCTCATGGTCATCTGCTGAACGAAACTGACCCTATGTTGACTTCTAGCTGTTTAGGAAAGCTGCTTGGTCTCAATGGCCCCTTCTTGCAGAGGCACGCACATCCCCAAGCTGCTGGGGAAGTGATGTGGGGGGCAGAGCAAAAGCAGCCCAGTCGTGTTTGCCCTGGAGGGGGGTGGGGGGAGGATTGGCCACAGCCCTCTGGGTGGGTGGCGAGGACTCCATCACACCAAATCCAGGGGTCTGTGTTTGTAAAGGTCTCTGATAATTTAGGAATGCTGGAAAACAAGCAACATACTTACCCCCTTCCCCAGCCCCCATCTGTGCCACACTAATTTTGTGATTTAATTGCTTTCATGGGTGACTAACTTTGTTCAGTAAAACCAGGGTTTGTTTGTTTGGGTTTTTTCTTTGCTACTTACATATTTAAAGGTACATGTTTCTTGTTTCTTATTTCAAATCTCTACTGATAGTGCCCAATGGGAAGATGCTGGAACACATTTTGCAAATGTGACATTTTTTTTTTGTTTGTTTGTTTTTGTTTTAGTGTTGCTTGAAGCCTGTGTCATAATGTCAGTTGCTGCTGCCTTCTTTCCTTTTATGAGGTTCCCAATGTTTCTTCCAGAAAATTACTTTATTTATGCAAGTCAGGTGACTCTTAGACCACAAAACCATTTGATGATAAACAGATTATCATTAGGTGCATATCTTATTGATATTTTGTGAAATGTTATGCCTGTGTTGCAAAAGTTGAATAGTTTTGTCTTTATATATTGCTGTCTTCAGTGTACAGCATGGTTTTACTTAATTGAATGTTACTGTTTAATATTTTCTTCTTATAGAAGAGACCATGCCCTTTTGTATGACATGTTTTAATAAATGTTATCCGTCAACTTTGTAAAAGTTTTGTTTTTCACTCTGGTTATATGACCACATGTCTTTGTTTTCATCCTGGCTTTTGCCACCTGAGAATAAAAGTTATTTTGTGGCCTTTTGATAAGTAAATGCCAAATGCACAATCTGATCAAATGGGTAGTGAGTGAGCATTTGCTGTGCCAGGCATTTATGATGCTGATCTCATTTTAACACCCCCCCGCCCCCCAGCTCTGTCAGGAATTTAGATGTGCTAGATAATCTGTTGGCTTCTCCAGATCCCCTCCCTACTGTGTGCCTCGCTCTGGAGGCTGGCCTCTGCAGACCCGTCCTGTCTTCTGGTCAGGGTACGCCAGAGCTACTCTGGGAGGAGGCTGGCGGATTAGAGAGAGAAGTCTGGGAATTCCCTCCCCTGGCTCCTTCCTGCCAGGTGTGGGTTGACAGTGGCTGGGCTCCTCTGCCTAGGGCCATAGCTCCAGTCTAGCAGCTTCAGGGTTTGGTAACCACATCCTCTCCTTGTCCCTTGCAAGCCGAGGACTGGTCCTGACTCCCTGTTTGCCAGCCCTCGGGAGCTTCACTGTCCTCATACGAGTTCCTTAACCTGCCCACGCCCTTTGTAAATAGTCCCCTTATGAAACTCAGGCACCCCAGCCGAGTGTGCCCGCTGTTTCACACCAGGCCTCTGGCTGATGATGCCTTAGACACACTCATTTCATTATGAGCCTGTTGTGATTGAGAGAAGGTAGATTTGTTACCAAATGTGGAACAGTGACTGCAGAGTGGAGCTCGGATTCAAATGGAGGACTTCACGGCTGCAACACTCGGAGATGCTTCCTTCCACTGCTCTGAGATGTCCCCATGCTCTTCAGTTGGGTTTCTCCCTCACCTCACCGGGCCTTTCCCCCCTCATCCCCCCCTCCCTAAGAAAAGCCTCAAGAAACAGCAACAGTGCTCTTTAAAAGTGCTGCAGGCACCGAGGGCCCCACGTATTTCCTAACAACAGCTCATTACCAGAGACACTGCTTGTTTTAGACCAAACTTAACCGTCTTCCCACACAAACCTTCTGTTACCACTGTTTGTTGTGAGGGATTTTTTTTCCCCTCCCCATTGCTGATTTTAAAGCCAACTACAGATTGCCTCAGCTAGCTTAGCCATTCTCTGTGTGGGAAGAAGTCCAGAAGAACCATCGCTAGCCCTTTTTGAGGTGGGCCCTGTCCGTGCTGACCAAGGGCAAACGGTCGGGCCCTGGGGCCTGGTGACCCCTCTGACCCCCGCAGGCCGGCCCACCTGGGAAGCAGGCTTCCCCACACCAGCTGCCACAGGGGCGGAGGCCTCTGGGGTGTGAAGATGAGAAGCACTGCGAGCCTTGTCAGGAGAAAGGAAAAGATGGAAGTGGCTCGTTTGTATTTGGGAACAGAAGGGGGGTGGGGTGTGAGGGTGTAACCCAGATGGAGCATATCACACCTGTGCAGTTTATTTAGATTTCCTCACAGCCAATTCAGAGACAGCTTCCCACCAAACCACCGGCGCATTCCTGGAGACGGTCTCCATGCCCAGGCATCTTGGAGGGTACGCCGCTCTAGAATTTGCCCGCAGTCAATGGACCAGCCAGCAGGTCGGCCGCAGGAAATGAGGTAAGCTCGAGCTTGACGTAACAGTCATCTATGACTTGGCGGATGATTTTAGAGATGTCCTCCGTGCAGAAAGTGAAAGATGGGAACTCTGTGCCCTTCCAACTCTGTCTTGTGTTCATAAGAAAACTCGGTCAGTGTTCTGTTGAGAGTTCAGTGAAGGAAGATGGGCGCAGACGGCATTTTTTTTTTTTCCCCTTAACGAGAAACCAGAAGGGCACGGAGAGTGAGGAAGGAAGTTTGTCTTCTGAGCTGGTCTGACTAGTTTGAGTCAAAACCAAGTAATGGGATTTTATAAGCTACCACTTTCTTGTGGGCTGCTGCAATGACAGGAGAGTCCCCGTGGCTTCTGAGGGAGTATGTGGGCTCTATAAAAACAAGGTAATTCATAAGCAGTATTGTAGGTAAATCTACATTCTAAAAAATAGTGGCATTATCCTTAGACTCTAATGATTTTGAGTTCTATTTTTTCCTTCTTCATATTCCAAAATAAGAAACCAGTACTGAAGCCGTTAAATGTATTTATAACTTAATAAGATACTAGTTACTCCCCAGAGTATACTGGTCTGCCTAATGTAACAGCTAACCTTTATTAATGGAGGCCAAAGAGTGCTTCTAGAACTGCCCCTGTCTTGTTAATTTGGGGGGCCAGTAATGCTGTGATAAAATCTCACTTGTTAGGTTTCTCTGAAAAGATCCCCAACTGCACGACACTTCACTCAATGATGGATGGATGCCAAATCAGCAAACGCTGCTAGAATTCCTGCAGGATCTGGCTGAGTAGAAATTGTAAGGCTTTAAAATGACAGCAGTGACCTTGAACCAAACTAGAAAGGATTAATTTTTACATAATTTATATAGTGTGTCCTAATGTGTGAAGTATCTTTTGTCTACTGAAAATGTGAACATACAGAGAATTTTCTTGGAGAGAATTTTTTTTTATTGCAGTTCTGTAGATTTATTAGGTTCTGAACACACACTCAACCCGCTGAACACCATACCTACTTTAATAGGTATAAGAAGAATTGGGATTACAGCCTAAAAATAACAGCTCTAAGTGAAGGTTCATTGCATGCTTAATATGTGCTAAGTACTTCACTTGCATGAACTCATTTATTCCTCCTAACAGTCCCATTGAGGTCAAATTTTATTCCAGGCCACTCCACGTAGCAGAAAAGGATGACAGCTTCCTATTCCGTTGGACAGATGGGTATTTTTCCCCCTTAGGGAAACCTCTCTTTCTGAACCTTTACTCCTGGGACAGCAGGCTGCCTGTGTCTGAAGGTGAGATTCAGAGAATCTCTGAGAGTTGTCCCTCTCTACCTGCAGGACCCTGAGCACGGCTTCTGATGCTGGGGAGCTTGCACCTGGGCCGGATTATCCTTCCAGTGCCTTTAGGTGGTGGGTGACTCACCGAGTACCCCTCAGTTTTTTTGCACTTTGCCGTCTTTGGAGAAATAGAGACCCTACTCAGAGACTGTGCCAGGTCTGGTGGTGGCAGCTAACCCTACTTGAACTCCCTAGGTTCAGGAATTACGGGTAGAAATTAAATCCAGGAATAGAGAGAGTCCAATAATTTTCAAGCTGGTAGAAAAGTTCTATCAGGCCTTCCTCCAAGGAATGGACAGAGAAAGGGAGCACCCTTCTGACCAGAGCAACTTTCATTTCACGTGGTGCGATCGACCAACTGCTCATTCCATAGAGCATTCGTTTGCCCAGAGCCCACTGTGTTGCACACTATTCTAAGCACTTCCCATGGATTAGCTTTTCACTCTGACACTAACCCTGCAAGGTAGATGTTATCGCCATCCCCATCTAGCAGGATGCTGACAGCAGAGCCAGGATTCCAACCCAGGCAGCCTGAGTCCTGGGCTCCACTGGGCTTACTTGTGCTCTGTTGCTGTCCGGTGACTGCCCAAGAGGAAACCCCACTCTACCGGCTGGTGCCCCACGTGTTTAATTCTGAACGAAAATAACCTAGAGAGGGGTTCCAAAGGCCAAGGGCTCATCTGGGCCCCCTGACCACCGCTCTGGTGTTAATCTCCAGGAGATTTTGGGTTTCAGCACAAGTAGCACCTGCTTATCTCTGGGTCTCTGGGCCCCAGGTTGGCCCACCCTGTTCCCATCAGCCTCTGGGACAGCCACTCCCTCACAATGATCTCCACTCCTGACATATTCTCCCATTTGACTGCCCCAAGGCTTCTTCCTCCCTAAGCAGACCTAATCCTGTCACCCTCCATGATCCATCTGATGGGGATCTTAGCTTGACATCCAAGGCTCCAGTCTGACAGTGGCCTTCTTGTCCATTCTTACCTGCCAATCCCCACTTGGGCTCTGGCTGCTCTCCTTAGGCTTGTCTTTGTCCTTGCCTTCTCTTTGTCCTTGAATACTCATCTTCTCTTTGTCATCCACAACTCGCTAACCTTTGTCCTCCTGGAAAACTCCTTTTGCTTGTTCGAGTCTCTGCAAAAATAATCTCTGTGGTATCTTCCCCGAGCACCCTGGAAATTATTCACACCACTCAGTGATTCCATGTCATTTTGAACTTAGTCCTGCTGAAGCATTGTCCCTGTATTGGCATCTCGTATGTACCATCCATTCTTTACACACACTCACGTCCCCTGCTAGACAATGGGCTCCTCAGAAAAAGGAACTATGTTTTAATTATCTCTGAGTGGGTGTTTCTGGCACCATCCTGTTCCTGGCACAGTCAAGAAATACTGCTGAATTTAAAAAATAATAATAGATGCAGATTCGCTGGTCAGTCTTTATCCACGTTACAGCCATGGACTTTTTGCTTTGTCAGAGACCTTTCTTAAGAAGTATAGGCACCCAACAGTCCTGAAGTGACCTCTTCCAACAGAATGTCACCCAAATGTCACAGAAATTGCCTGTTGGCTGAGAATTCTGAGATAAGTATAGGTCCTCTTGCTTAACCCAAAGGAAAGATTTTTTTATCGGGGAAGGCACTTAGCTATGGTGCTGGACACTGGTTTATGTAAGCCAGGTCAGGCAGAAGAGGGTGTTGAGATTTATCAAACAATGATTTCTGGTGGAGAAAAGTCAGTGTCCGGCTCAAACCAAATGGTTAGTAGAGTAACTTACAGTTGACAACTTGCTTTGGAAGCAGAATAAGCTGAATTGTCCCACTCCCTGTGAAATATATCAGCCCTATGGTGAAGAAAAGGGACTAATTTTTGTTGTTGTTAATTTCTGCAGAGAAGTGTATTTTAGAAGAGGGCATATTTTCAATGAGATTTTGACATAGTTAAAACACATGTTACATGTTATTTGGTGCTTCATCTAATAGTAAAATTTATGGCAATTGATTAAGGACCAAAATTGCTTTTAGGGGCACCCTAAAAGGGTGGCTTAGACAGTTAAGCGTCCAACTCTTGATCTCAACTCAGGTCTTGATCTCAGTGTTGTGAGTTCAAGCCACATATCGGGATCCATGCTGGGTGTGGAGCCTCCTTAAAAAAAAGAAAAAGTTGCTTTTGGACAACAGTCAAATTGTGATTGTGCCGACCTGAGCTTTAAGTAACAGTAGAATGTTGTAATCAGGAAACACAATCTGGGCTAGACAACTGGGGGGAGTATATGCAATAAAGACTATTTGTTTTGTGTGACTGGCTCCGAGAGAGCATGGCAGGAGACTCTTTTGGCCATCTGAAAGTAGAAAGGGCAACAGTGAGCTTGTGACTCTCACAAGGAGCTCTCCCGAGAAGGTGTCAAACAGTTCTTTTGGAAGTGGTTTCAAAAGCATCTTAGGCCAAATGCCTCTAATCTTTTCTTTTTCTTTTCTTTTCTTTCTTTCTTTTTTTTTTTTAATGTTTAAATGTTTATTTTTGAGAGAGAGACAGACATACAGAGCATGAGCTGGGCAGGGGCAGAGACAGGGAGACACAGAATCTGAAGCAAGCTCCAGGCTCTGAGCTGTCAGCACTGAGCCTGACATGGGGTTTGAACTCACAAACCACGAGATTATGACCTGAGCCAAAGTCAAACGCTTAACCGCCTGAGCCACCCAGGCACCCCTCATCTTTTCAAGTAGAAGAGTCATTTCTGAATATCAGAAAATTTTGCAGAAACCTCCCCCCCGCCCCTCCCCACACAAATAGTTGATGAAGAAAAGTTCAAAATCTCAGAACACTAGTATGACTTCCATAACGCTTCAATGCATCTGTATTTATTCTTTAAAAAGCATAGTTGAAAGGTACCAGTGCAAATGTGGAAGACCACAAAAGGAGCTTTGTATGCTTCCAATCTATTCTTCGGTTCATTCATTCACTCATTTGGTTATTTATTTAGCAAATATTTATGGACCATCTGTGTTGGCCCTAGGCTGGGCTTTCAGAAGCTGATTCTCTGGTCTTCAGAGGTTGTGAAAAGCACTCCAGGAGACAAAGAAATGGACATTTCAGGATAGGTCCTTTGCTGTCTGTGTCACATAATTGACTCAACCTTGTGAATCCACCTGGAAATAATATGAATCATCAACTTCAAGACAACATTTCTCAAACAAACCTGATAGTGGGTGGTAACCGGGTCACTCTTGGGTGTGGTATAAGCCACCGAACTTAATTCATCTACAGGCCCAAACCCAAGTGACAGCCATTTCCTGCGATAGCTGTATAGCTTCCCTCAGTCTCACCTGCTTTTCTGGGTTTTGAGTTAACTCATCACAGTCATCTCAAGGGTGAAATGGAGAAAAACTTCCCCATCACCGACTCATTTCTGCCTCCCGGCATTTTTTAATTCCCCTTTCTTGAGCAGAATCCTTTGATCATAAATTTTCCACCATAGTTCATCCCGTTGAATTCACAAGGGCAATGTAGAAGCTAGAGAATAAATCAGTAACAGGTCCTCAAAGAGTGCACTATCTAGTAGACAAGAATCATGCTTTCAAAAAAAAAGTTAAGAGGCTACTGTTATGTGCTATTCTATCTGCTGGGGATATAGCAATAAATAAAACAAAATTTCTCCTGGAGTTCCCATTCTGGAGGCAGGGAAGACTGGTACCTCTCGAAGGCTAAGAAGTTGCCTTAGAGAAGTAGCACGTGGGGCGCTTGGGTGGCTCTCAGTTGGTTAAGTATCCAAGTTTGGCTCAGGTCATGATCTCACAGTTCATGAGCCTGAGCCCTACCTTGGGCTCTGTGCTGCCAGTGATTCTCTCTCTCTCTCTCTCTCTCTCTCTCTGTCCCTCCCCTGCTCACAGGCACTCTCTCTCTCTCTCTCTCTCTCTCTCTCTCTCTCTCTCTGTCTAAAAAATAAACATTAAGAAAAAAAAAGAGAGAAGAAGCCCAGACTCACACAGGGACAGAATGACTAGGGGTACACAGGAAGCCTCCCTCATGCTGGCAGCCTCTGAGCAGAGATGGGTGGAATTCTGACCAACCAAACTGTGGTTTGGAGTGAAGAGGAGGCCAACCTCTCCCTCCCCCTCTTCCCCCCCAGAGAGAAAAGTATGAAGAAGAGCACAGAGATGAGGAAGTATGAAAGGAACCGTGGAAATACAGTAGGAAAGGTAGCTTGGGCAGCCAAGTTCTTACTATGGTAACACTACTCATTTACTGTATGCCGGGCTCTGTGCTACAGTCTTCACATATGATATCTCTTTAGATCTTTACTGTAACCCAGATTGCAAGGTAAGGGAAAACCGAGGCTCAGAGTGGTTAAGTAAGCAGCCCAGCCAGAATTCTAGACGAGGTCACCTGACTCTGGAGCCCAAGATCGTAGCGATTACACCGTGTTGGTGCCCAAGGTCATGGAGGGCCTCTGATCCCAGGCTAAGGGGTGTGGATTTGATTTCGTAGGCAATGATCAGAGCTGTCACAGAGATTAACCCAATGGAATGAGAAATGACCTAGGACGTGTTGTTTGTGCTGCGTTCCCTACGTGGGCTGAGTGGCAGATGATAGGCCTGGAGGGAGGAACCATCACATGCTCAGGTAAGCCAAGTTCAGTGTCAGTAATGGAATGGGGCAAGCTGTACTAGTAGCCTAATGGAGGACTGTTGTTAACCTAGATAGGGCCATCAGAACAAGAACTGTGGAGGCTCCTTCTACACTTGGTTTTCTTCCACGGGGTTTTGGCCACCGGCACTGGTCATGTACTCTCCAGGCCTGCATGCCAGCCAAATTCCTTTAATGTAATTGGGAAATCTCTTCAAGAATGGGTAGCACTCACCCTCTTCTCTACACGAAGGTCATGAGAGGAATCTCAAGAACCCTAACCCCACACACAGTCAATGAAATCCAATTCTTTGATGATTAAAAGGAAGCTGTCACCACCCCTGTCCTCATTATCTCTCACCTACGTTATTGCACCAGTCTAGTCTCCCTGCTCTGCATCCTACCCACACCTGTCAGCCTCACTCTTTTGTTGTGTCCCCAAGCTGTTCCCAAGGCCCTAAATCCCACCAAAGTAGGCCCCCACTCTCCGAACTGTAGGCTTAGACTTCTTTTCTGGTTTGTTTCCACTGTTTCTCCATCCTACCTATTCTTTCCAGCCAAACCCCATTTTCTTTGAGCTTGCCCTCAAATTCCCTGCAACCAAGGGCATCACTAATGCTCCCTCTCCTGCCCAGAATAAGGGCCATTTCCAACACCACCTCCTCTAAGTAGCTTTCACTGTCCTGCTCAGTTCAGTTTCCTCTGTCCTTCCTTAGGGCCCCATAACGCTTAGGTTGTGTCCCTCACGCAGGCATCATTTGCACGCACCTTGCTAAGCTTTGTGAGGACCAGCAGGTGTCAACACCTTGTGCCTGCATCCATTCCATTTCTGTGTCCCTTCCAGCACGGGGCCTGGTGCCCAACATGTTTGTTCGGTTGAAGTCAGAACCGTCCCCTGTGTCTGTAGGAAGGCTTGAGTAGGACAATAGCAAGATGGGGAGACCAAATACTCGCTAAGATAAAAAGACCTCAAATTCTTGTTTTGCTGAGAGCTGGAAATGTATGACACTGTACCATTATTGGCTGTGTTCCCTCTTGTATACCCAATCAGCCAGCAAATGCAGATGTTTTTATAACCAGCCACCCCAAGGCCAAGAACTGTTTCAGAAATGACTGGGTATTGAAGGTCAGCCATGTCACATTCAAGTTACTCCGTTCATCAAGACTGAATTGTACTGACTCACAATGTACAGTCATTCCTACACCTCCACCAGCCCCTAAGCAGCTGTCACTGCCTGGTGCCTGGGATCAGGGACCGAATGCTGGTCTCAAACCAGGTCACGTACAACAGTCACACCCACAGCCAAGCTGCTTCTGCACCTCCCGATCTCTCCAACCTCTGCAAATGGAGGCTGATGATAACTCAGCTGCATTTTCTTTTTGAACTTAGAAAAATGCCTAGCTTGGCTAACTTTAAAAACACAGTGTCTTCCTTGTTCTTTGAGTAATCTTATCACAGTCACAAACCACTGCTTTCAGAAAGCCGACCCCAAAGAAACACCCCCCCACCACCCGCTGCCTTGAGTAGGATCAAAGTCAACTTACTATTCGATAGAATGCCTGGGAGGCAGCTTGTCCTGTGATCAGAGGGTATTTGGGGGAGATTCTATGCTGTGCACGGGCAGCCTCAGGATCTCTGCTTGGGAGCCTCTCCCCAGATACGACCCTGTCAGCTCCAGGCGAAACTGTTAAATGTTTTCTCCAGACAAGAGCTGCACTTTCTAGCAGCTACTGACCCCTGGCCCCCATTAGGGGTCATGATATAGAACTTGTGCAGACAGTGATCAAGGAAGAGACTCTGGACAAGTTCCTCTCCTGCGCTAGCAAAAGAACATCTTCCCTTAGTAGATTTTAATGATCCCTATGGACATAAGTGAACTAGGCTGGGCATGCTAGTTTTTTCATGGTTCTGTGAATGTGTTTAAACATACAGAAACTTACACAAATATTTGCATTATCATTGTGTGATTCAGTCCTGGACCTCAGGATTTCCTGCAGGCCACATGCACTTTTTTTGTGTAACTGAAGTATGATCAAGCATAAATGAGCACAAATCATAATGCACAGCTCAATGAATTTTCACAAAATGAATGTATCCGTGTTGCCTGTACCCGGATCAAAACACCCGGGGCTCAAAATTCCCCTCATTCTTCTTTCCAGGAGTAACCTATCCTGACTAGTAGTGGCACCATTAATTTTGCCTGTCTTTGAACTTTATACAAATGGGATCATACAGGGGCGCCTGGGTAGCTCAATCAGTTAAGCTTCTGACTTCGGCTCCAGTCATGATCTCACTGTTCATGGGTTCGAGCCCCATGTTGGCACTGTGTTGACAGCTCAGAGCCTGGAACCTACTTTGGATTCTGTGTCTCCCTCTCTCTCTCTGCCCCCCCTCCCACTTGTGCGTGTGCTCTCTTTCTCTCTCTTTCAAAAATAAACAAACACTTAAAAAATGAAATTAAAAAACAGGGGCGACTGGGTGGCTCAGTCGGTTCAGTGTCCAACTTCAGCTGGGGTCATGATCTCACAGCTCCTGAGTTCGAGCCCCGCTTCCGGCTCTGTGCTGACAGCTCGGAGCCTGGAGCCTGCTTCGGATTCTGTGTCTCCCTCGCTCTCTGTCTCTCCGCTGCTCAGATTCTGGATCTCTCTCTCAAAAATAGACATTAAAAAAAAATTTTTTTTAATTGAAAAAAAAAAGGTCAGCTCAGACTGCATCAGACTACTCTGCAGCAGACCATTTCAGTTTTGAGTGAGATTGTCAGACATAACTCTCATCTGCTAGAAACAGCATTCCCAACTACAGGAATGTGATGCAGACAAGGGAAATGAGGGTATTTGGAGAGATTCCTGGGTCAACAATATGGCTTGAACCCTGCTGAGCTTTCAAAAAAGGGCCCTGCTTACACTTTTACCTCCAACTCTTTCTCCTGAGTTTCTAAGTCTCTCAACATAAAGGGCCACGGTCAGTCTTTTTGGGGTGTGTCTGAGAATTCAAAAGGGCCTTTCTGCCAAGGAAGTTTAACCAGGAGAGGCACCTAGAAGCTGAAGCAGCAGTAAAACTTAAAGAAGAGCTTCACACAATTGATTGAAACGAATGGCTGTCCCATGAGTACATTTCTAGAACACATCATTGGTACAAGATCGTTGATGTGTTGATGGAAGAGAGATTGTTTTAGGAGACCATGGACTCTCCCATTGGGAGAGGGAACAACGTCAGGTACATGCTACTCTTGGCACCTAGGGTATTGCTTGCTGTTGCTCACTTGTTAGAGCTAAAGTGCCTGTTTTTCAGTTCTGTGGAAAGGCAGGGTGAGCAGCAGTTCCAAGAGAAGGTTGGAATGAAGACTCAGGAGGGCTGGCGTGGCAGGGGGCGGTCCGCCTCCAGCAGGGCGGCTAGACTGCTGCCCTCTCAGGAGGGCTCTGTGAATCTGTATTTCCTGGTTCGGAGCCATCTCATCCTAGTGGGAGCCAGCTGGAGCCCGACCTCTTTTTGTCCTTCTTTTGTTCCTGGCTTTAAAACATTTATTGAGCCCTTGCCTTGTGCCCAGCTTGGTGCTGGGCACAGGAACCACAGTGAGAAACGAGACATCGTCCCTGCTCTCAAGTCACAGGAAGGCCCTGACAACAGGAAATGCTGGTAACTTCTAAGAATTGCAAGAGAGCAGGACAGCTGCTTATGCCTGACAGACAAGGTAGCAGATGCCCGGGAGCCCAGTGTGATAGCTCCCAGGTCGTTGGACATACTAGAGAAGCCTCAGCAGGAAAAGAAGATTCATCCTAACAAACCCCAATATGGACATATGAGCTACTGGCTTTTGTGTGTTTATCATATACACGTGAGGCACTTTGCAAGAGTGTTACAACTGCGGTCTCATTATACCACTACTGACAAGCATCTGGAGTCAGAACACTTGTTAGCTCCATTTTACCGATGAGGAGACAAGCTCAGAGGGGTTACAGATCTTCACTTTGCTCAGTGAGTTTTAACCATAGTCCTTAATTTATTGCATGACCAGAAGCTGAACCACCCCTCATAAGACTTCAGGCTTAAAAGGCCTGCCTAATAATCCAAAGTAGATGAGCACGTCCAACTTCGTTGAAACTTCAAGGAGCTCAAGGAGAAAGAAATAAGAAGAAGCTTAAATGAAGAGGAGAATGGGTAGAAGGTTACTCACTTATCTGAGTGTCTTGTGAGTTCCTGGGGGCACACTTAAAAAATAAGAAGTGTTGGGACACTTGGGTGGCTCAGTTGTTGAAGGCTCTGACTCTTGATTTTGGCTCAGGTCGTGATCTCACAGTTCGTGAGTTTGAGCCCCACGTCAGGCTCTGCACTGACAGTGTAGAGCCTGCTTGGGATTATCTCTCTCTCTCTCTCTCCATCTCAAAATAAACAAACTTAAGAGAACAGGAAGTGTTGAGGTGTAAATTGTCAGCTAAGCCTGGCTTCTATGTTGGGAAATAGCAAAGGTGCCTTGGTTCTGACCAGGAGAAGGAACCAATGCAGAGATGTTGAGATTCTCTCTGAGCAAAGGATTATCCTGGACAAATTGAACCCACTGATTAGTTTGGCAATGAATGCCAAGGTTGCTGAAAGACTACTTATTTTCAGAGAGGAGAGAAATCATGTCTTACAAACCAGGTCTTTAGGAATGAAGAAAAGGCCAAGATACCACCATCTTCTTGAGTCTTGACTGACAGGGAAGGCATCAAGGCCTTTGAACAGAGACTGTTCTTTGGGGGGTTGGGGGATGAGAGTAGGAGGGAGGGAGGGAGCAGATGAGTTGAAGAGTTTTTCTCTTTAAGTGGCCAGAGGCAAAGATTCCAGGAGCTAAGCTCCAATGATGAAAGGGGATCATTTCAATGATGAAAGGAGAATGACAGTGTCCAGTGGAGGGGAGGGGAGGGGACATTTGGAGGAGGGGTGGGGGAGAAGAAGCTAGGGTGCACCTCCATACTGTGTTGCCCCTTGCATTGCTGCCATTGGTTCAGTCCCTCATATGTTAACAGCTCCTACTGATTCAGCACCCACCAAGCACAAGGCTCTAAAAACCATTTTGCCTCTCCTATCTCATGGGATTCTCATAACAACCATCTGGAGCAGTTACTATTACCATCCCCATTTTATAGATGAGAAAACTGAGGTTCAGAAGTCTGATTAGCTTGCCCAGGGTCTCATGTTTTTTGTTTTTTTTGTTTTAGTTTTGTTTTTTACCATGGGACCAATCTTGGAAATACAATGAAAGAAGCACTGAATCTGAAAACAAAGTCAACCCAGTTCAGGGCCAGGGATGGACAGAGCTGAGACCAGGGGACAGAAGGGACATAGGAGCTAGTGAGGAGCAGATCCTGGAGGAGCCCAGATGAAGAGGACTGATCAGAGCAGGGTAGGTACACAGGGTTGAGGCAAACCCCAGGTCAACATCAGCAGGGAGGAAGGAGATTAAGGTCAGAAAGGCAGGGAATGGTGCCATGGGCCCCTGTTCACACTGTAGTTGGGACCATCCTCTTGTTTGACATAGAGGGTGAGAATTTCAAACTAGTATCAGACTCTCTCACTGGGTGATGTAGTGTCTTTTCCCCCTTTTCCTTCCCTGTTCACTTTTTCCACAGCCCTTCTCCCCGTCTAACAGGCTATATGTTTTGCCTCTCTTTCCTTGACCATTCCTGAAAGGTGGAGATTCCCCCACCCCGCATCCCATCCACTACGATATCCCCAGGATGTAGAGCAATGTTTGGCACTCAGCTAGCCCTCAATAATTATTTGTTGGATGAATAAATATAGGACAATAATATCACGCCAGGGTTTCTTAGGCCTCAGTTGCCTCCACTGCCCAGTTGATCTGCTTTGAGCACGGTGATCTCACCTCTCCTGTTGGGACTCCCTCAGCCACTGATTTCTGCAGCTTGCATGAGCACGGTGAGGATGCGCGCGGGCTCTAGGAGGCAGCACCTTACTCCTGCTCAGCAAGAGCTAAAAAAGCAAAGGTCGGGGTGGCAGTTGACAAATGTCTACATTGGCCAAAACTCATTAGACCTCACTAAAGCTGATTAAGAGAAAAAGAAAGATGGACTCTCCTCCCTCCACAATGCCTGGGACCATCCCACAGACCCACAGAATAGGGACTCTATTCCCAAAGGGCTCCCCTTTATTCTGATTCTGTTGTAAGGAGGAAAGGACTAAAGGACTAGCAAGAAGGAAAAAAGAGAGAGATAAAAAGAAACACCCCCTTGTCAGATCCTCATATTTGAAATCGTTAGTGAGGCCTTCAAACGTTCAGATGTCATGACTTTTATTTTTAAATAGCTCTCAACTCAGAAAAGCACTGAAGTCATGTCTAAGGTCAGTGGAACTATTTGCTCTAGGGAAATTTACTTAGGGAGGAAAGGATCCGCCTCCCCAGGTATCTTTTTAAAGAGTCTTGGTCATCAAAGTCCTCCTGCAAAGCCCTCTGACTTCTGAGCGACAGCAAGCAAAGTTTCTAGTCTAGCGTTTGATGGACAGGATGTTGGCTTGACATTAAACACATGTGGTGGCATGAATGCTCTTCACGTGCGGTTTGCTCAGTTCATTGAAATCCAAGGCGTGCCCAGCGGGTTTATGCCTGGTTTATAACACTTAGAGCACAAAATCACCTTTTAAACCAGGCTAGATCTTTGCAGATGTCTCCACTGTACTGACTTTAGTCAGACATATGCCTTTGAGGAAAAGCGATGTGAGTTACAACAGTCCCCCTTGACATAGCTCTTAAGAATGCTATTGATTCTGAGATATACTCTGAATTTATTGATCTGCATTTGGGACAAAAACAAAAACACAACCAGATTAAATATACTCATTGATTGTAAGGTGTCTTCTGATTTCAAGAATGTTTCAATGTGTCAAAAGAGGAAATTTGTAAGTCTAGTGACTTACT